AAGTCCATTCCCATTCAGATATGGTAAGGTTACATGGGTGCACAATAATACCTTTTTAACCAGCAGGCAATATAGCTGCATTCACTGTTAATCCCAATTTTGTCAGATGGGGTGAAGGCACCACCTACCCCCATCAGGTCCTTAGAAATTTGACATAAGTTTTAAAAACGAAGTCCATTCCCATTCAGATATGGTAAGGTTACATGGGTGCACAATAATACCTTTTTAACCACCAGGCAATATAGCTGCATTCACTGTTAATCCCAATTTTGTAAGATGGGGTGAAGGCACCACCTACCCCCATCAGGTCCTTAGAAATTTGACATAAGTTTTAAAAACGGTTACAGTTTCTTGCTTAGGAATCACCTGCATCCAGCGCTTGTACTGTACTTGTGAGACCTGGTCCTAGAATCACAGTTCTTTTTCTATTTCTTGTTCCAACCTTGCAATCTGTTCATTCAATGTTTTGTTTTTTTCACTGTTAGTGATTCCGTCTTAGAAACATCTACACTAAATAAATCCTTCAGCTTTGACTACAACCCTACATCAATCTCTTCAAAACTGTTGGCACCAGTCAGGAAACTCTCATAGCATTTTATGGCATAGTCCAAAAACAACTTATTATGCATAATCCCATGTTCAGTTTCTTCTCACCAAGTCTGTCTATCATAAATTGGGCTTTCTTTCATGGCAGTGTGTATCTTGATGCAGTCTTGATGCAGAACTGGAATCCATGTCTACTAATTGTTTACCAGTTTCTTACAAAGGATACAGATGAAAGATGCATAGGGAGAGATACAGGAGAAGGGGCAGAGTTTCCATACTCTCTCCGGGCACACCACCCTCTAGGAACCTCCACGTGTTCACATATCCTGAAGCTCCCTGGAGATCTTTATTTCTTCATACAAGTTCAAGTTACTGTTTAGTGTTCTTGTATTTCAAGTTGAGGACTCTCTTTAGCATTTCTTGCAGAGCAAATCTACTAGTAGTTAACTCCCTCAGCTTTTGTTTACCTGGGAATATCTAATTTCTCCCTCATTTTTGAAGGACAGTTTTGCCAGATATAGAATTCTTGGTTGACAGGATTTTTTCTTTCAGCACTTTAAATATGCCCATTGCCTTCTGGCTTCCATGGTTTCTGATGAATCATTAACTGTTAATCTTATTGAGGCTCCCTTGTACCATGGCAATCACTTCTCTCTTGCTGCTTTCAAGATTCTCTCTTTGACTTTGTCTTTCAACCCTTTGATTATAAAGTGTCTCGATGTGTGTCTCGTTGAGTTTATCCTAGTTGGAGTTCATTGAGCTTCTTGGATGCATAGAAACAAACTCCACAGATAATTTTGCAGGAAGATTGGT